TTTATCTCCAGCCCATTTGTCTCCCCTGAACTTTGCCATTTGGGCAACCTATAGACAACTGATGTTCAATGTGTCTACACACCAACTCATTTTTCCTGCCTCACCCACACTGCTCTGTGTTTTTCAGCTCAGATAAAAAGTACTACTGTGGCTACCCAAGATAGAAATCTAGACATTTGTGATTACTTCCTCTCTGTCTTAACCTCTGGTTAGTCAGTAAATCATTCTATCTCTTTTATGTTTTAAAAATCTTTCTCTGATCAGTTATACCCCAGCAGAGTTGTGCCAAAGTTCCTAACTGTTTGGCAGGCCCAGGCTGGATTTGAACCCACCAGCTCTGATGTATGTGGCTGGTGCCTTAGCTATTTGAGCTACAGGCACCACCATGGGTTAGTTATCTTTTAAAAACTCACATGTATTCCGGTGGTGCCCATAGCTCTGTGGGTAGAGGCCGGCCATATACACCAAGTTTGGCAGGTTAGAACCCAGCCCGGGCCAGTTAAAATAACAATGACAATTGCAACAACAACAACAAATAGCCAGGCATCATGGTGGGCACCTGTAGTCCCAGCTACTTGGGAATCTGAGGCAAGAGAATCGCTTAAACCCAAGAGTTTGAGGTTGCTGTGAGCTGTGACACCATAGCACTCTACCAGAGCTTGAGAGGCTCTGTCTCAAAATAAATAAATAAATAACTCATATCTATTATTTATTCTGGCATTCTAAGTCCTCCAGACCCTGAACCTTAGTCCTTTGCCAGACTAATTTCTTTTTCTGTTTTTATTTTTTAAGACAGAGTCTCACTTTTTACCCTTGATAGAGTGCCATGGTATCATAACTTAGAGAAACTTCAAATGTTTGGGCTCAAGTGAGCCTCCTGCCTCAGCCTTCTGAGTAGCTGGGACTATAGGTGCCCACCACAATGCCTGACTCTTTTTAGAGATGGGGTTTCCCTTTTGCTTAGACTGGTCTTAAACTTCTGAGCTCAAGTAATCTGCCCACCTCAGCCTCCCAGAGTGCAAGGATTACAGGCATGAGCCACTGCACCAGGCCACCAGACTCATTTCTTACTCCTCTTAAACTCAGACTCTATACCCTAATTCACCTAAACTAAATGGCCTTTCATATATGCTGTTCCCATTGCCTGGAGTTCCCTTCCCTTTCTTCTCTATGTAGCTAACACCTCTGGATCCTTAAGTTACTGTAGGCATTAATCACTTCTCCTAGGAAGACCTCCCTAGTGCCCTAGGATGGATCAAGTGCTCCACTTGTTTCCAAAACAGCTGAACAGGCCAGGTGCTGTGGCTTACACCTGTAACCCTAGCTCTCTGGAAGGCTGAGGGGAGTGGATTGCTTGAGATCAAGAGTTCAAGACCAACCTGAGCAAGAGCAAGACCCCATCTCTAAAAATAGCTAGGTATTGTGGCAGGTGCCTATAGTCCCAGCTACTTGGGAAGCAGAGGCAAGAGAATTGCTTGAACCCGAGAGTTTGAAGTTGCTGTGAGCTGTGGACACCACTCTGCACTCTACCGAGGGTGACATAATGAGACCACAACGCCCAGCCATTTTTGTTGCAGATGTCATTACTGGTTAGTTGGCCCGGGGTCAGGTTCAAACCTGCCAACTTCATTGTATTTGGCTGGCACCATAACCACTGTGCTACGGGCACCGAGCCCCCAGGTGAACTTTTTATCTTATTACCTTATTGCATCAAATCACATAGTACTACCGCCTTGGTTTAATTCTGTAATTCTCACAACTTATAAACTTTTTTCCTTTTTAAATTTTTATTTATTTATTATTTTTTAGAGATAGAGTCTCACTTTATCACCCTAGGTAGAGTGCCGCAGCCATAGCTCACAGCAACCTCCAGCTCTTGGGCTTAGGCTATTCTCCTGCCTCAGCCACCTGAGTAGCTGGGACTACAGGTGCCCACCTGAATGCCCGGCTATTTTTTGTTGCAGTTTTGGCTGGGGCTGGGTTTGAACCCGCCACCCTCGGTACTTGGGGTCAGAGCCCTACCCACTGAGGCACAGGTGCTGCCCCTTTTTCCTTTTTTTAGATTTCAGATTAATATGAGGATACAAATGTTTAGGTTACATTATTAGGTCAAGTTCAAGTTGTAGGCTTATGAACTCTTGAAGGGAGAATGGACTCAACAGTAAAATGATTGTCTAGACACAGTAGGCTTTCAAGAAATGTTTAATTTAGGCTGAGCGTGGTAGCTAATGGCTATAATCCTAGCACTCTGGGAGGCCAAGACAGGAGGATGGCTTGAGCTTAGGAGTTCAAAACCAGCCTGAGCCAAGAGTGAGACCTAGTCTGTACTAAAAAAATTGAAAAAAGAGCTGGACATAGTGTTGGGTGCCTGTAGTCTCAGCTACTGTAGAGGCTGAGGCGGGGGAGTGCTTGAACCTAATAGTTTGAGGTTGCTGTGAAATAGGCTGATGCCATGGCACTCTAACCTGGGGCAACAGAGTGAAACTCAGTTTAAAGAAAAAAAAAAGAAAGAAAGAAAGAAATGTTCAATTTAGGAAAAAAGAATGTCAAGTAATGTAAGGCAGTTAAAGCAGGGAACTAGAGCTTTAAGTGGCGGTAATAAAGAGGGTGGACTGATGTCAGCTGATTATCATAGCCTCTCCACTTGTTGCCTAAGTTTCCCACCTGTACAATTACCGTAATAATGGTACTTGACCCCTAGGATTGCTGTGATAATTTTGGTATCCATTTGTTCACAATGTGTTTTTGCACTTTGTAAAAGACTATATTAAAATACCAGAAGGGGCTCGGCGCCTGTGGCTCAAGCGGCTAAGGCGCCAGCCACATACACCTTAGGTGGCGGGTTCGAATCCCCAGCCCGGCCCGCCAAACAACAATGATGGCTGCAACCAAAAAACGGCCAGGCGTTGTGGCGGGCGCCTGTAGTCCCAGCTACTTGGGAGG